CTTCTTCAAAAGCCAAAAGCGAGGCGTAGTATGAAATCAGAGCCAAATCCAAGAAGCTAATGCTCTCCCCTCTTACCCTGGCTCCTCCTCTTCTAACAACTTTATACACTTTTCTCAAATGTGATTTCATAGTAAAGAAAACACTGCTTTGAGAATGGTGGGGTATTATTTGTCTAAATTTGTGTATCTTTTCTCTTATAACAGTTTTTAGTGGACAGTGGGAGTAGTTAGGCCATTGACTGTGAAAACATTTCAGTGGGAGTAGTTAGGCCATTAATGTCCATGTTACTTTTTAAAATCCAGAATCATCCTCAAATATTGAAGAAAGTGTCATCTTTCTCAAAGTTTAAGATTTTGAGCAAATCCAACAATATTTTTGTGTTTTTTTTTTTTTTTTTTTTTGAAAATTGGAGAACATTCTGATTGAACTAAGACACAAGGTGATAATAAACAAAATAAAGTTCATCATTATTGTTTTAGGTACAACTCATGAATAACACTAGCACCAGACAAGTCCAAAAGACTATAATAGATTAATAGAAGTTGTACATTATTGGAGTAATGGATTTTGAAAGGAAGATTTTCTAGTGAACCCCAAGCCTTTTCCTCAACTGCAAAACAAACTCATAGAGCTTCAAAGGGTCTGCAATGGAGTTGGAGATGCTCTCATTTTGTAGGCACCTTTTGCCCCATCCAATCAGCTTTGGACATTTGGACTCAAAGGTGAATTTGCATTCCTTCTCACAAGCCAAAAACCAAGTGTAGAATGTAATGACAGCCAAATCTAAGAACCCAAAGCTTTCCCCACCAAAATAGGGCTCTTCCCCCAACACCCCTTCCAACACCTTAAGGTTATCTATCATCTCCTCATATATGGCTTCTTCATCTTTCCATTTCCTAATCCATCCTCTCACACACTGAAAGATCTGCACTTTTCCACAAAGGAGGTGTTTGGTAAATAGTTGTTAGCAGTTGACATTAACTAATTGTAGAAAAATGTTTAGTAAATTAGCTAATAGCTGATTACATGAAATTGACTTTCTCAAAAAGCTGATCGAAAAAGCTGCTTTGAACAGCTTTCTGAATTTTAACATTTTAGAGCAATAAGTTGTACAAAAAGATAATTAATCAAACACTCATATTGAATGTTTAACCAAGTCAAACAACTAATAGTGGTCAAATAAGTCAAAAATTGGCTGATAAGCTAACTATGTTACCAAACAGTGACAAAGTATACAGTTTCAGAAACCACTTTTCTGGAACATTTTGATGATATTGAAGTCACTGTCTAGCCATATTTAAAAACAGTGTTTAAAGAACATACCTTTTTGTCAACAAAATCAGCCCAAAACCTAGCTTGAGCTCTCTTGTAAGGGTCAGTAGGCAACAATGGATGCTGCTCCTTCCAGACCTCATCAATGTACTCTACAATGATGAGTGATTCACAGATTGGTTTTCCATTGTGAATGAGCACAGGGATTTTCTTGTGAACCGGGTTCATCTCCAGCAAGAGTGGACTTTTGTTCTGCAAGTCTTCCTCTGTGGATTCATGGCGAATCCCTTTCAGAGCAAGTGCCACTCTTGGCCTCATCCCAAACATGCTCACATATTCATCCAATAGAACAACCTCATCATCACTGCCCATTGTCTTTTGTTTTGTGTTTTGAACAATATAATATTCTTCAACTTTTGATTGAGGAAAGAGGAGATGTTTTAGCGAGATTTAAATACAAAATTGTTGGGATTGTTGGTGTAAGTGATGATGAAAGACCCAACTTCAAAATGCATTTCTCTTCAACATTTTCTAAGAAATGGGTCAAATATCAATAACTTTATTATTAGACTGGCTGGTGATCTTTGATCGTAAAGATTCTGCAGCTTTTGGTGGATTACCAATATCTTTTTATTATTTACTAGTATGGCATCTGTGTAACATATATTAAATAATTATATTATTTATCAAATTTAAATAGTGTAAATAAATAAGTACTCAAAATATTATATAATATTCTAACAATATATTATTATTATAATAAAATATGTATAGTACATAATATCAAATTTTGTTTTATAACGACTTAGTGTTGGAATTATATATATATATATATATATATATATATATATATATATATATATATATATATATAAAAGATCATAGATCTATCACTTGTCAAACTACAAAAATGTCATGGGCATACAAAAAGAACTATACTAAAAAAAAATCACAAAGACTAAACTTAATTTGTGGGTATTTATAAGCAAGATAAGGAACATCTAAAAGTTAGAGTGCAAAGTAATTAGGTGGATGACTATGTAATTTGTATCACGAGTTTTTTGCAGTTTTGGTCCCACGACTATAGTTGTACTATTAGAATTGATCCACGACTTTCAAACCTTGCAATTTTAGTCCACGACTATTATTTTTTTTGGCAAAAATGGTCCTTCCGGCCACTTTTCCGTCAAAATTTTACCGAAAGAAAATTTCTTCATATTTAAGAGGGCTAAATTTGACATTTCGCTTAATAAGCTTGCAAGACCTACCGCTCCTCTGATTCGCACTAGGGAATTGGGGATTTTATTTTGTTTGTTGTTTTTAAGAGGGCTAAATTTGACATTTGGTCTTGTCGTTCAATTTTTTAGCCAACTATTATCGGAAGTGCTGCATTTGCTTCTTCCGGAATGAACACTTCTAGAAAAAGCACTCCATGCATTTACTTATTTTGAAAGGAGCACTTCCGACAATGGTTGATCCAAAACTTTGTTAAAGTACCACCATAAGGGACATAAGATGACTATGTTGCATGCGTTTCTCAGAAAGTGCTGATATTTTTTTCAAACTTAATTCATTCCATATAAATATCCAACAATCATATTAGTCTTGCATTGATTATTTTAATTCGATTACAATGTCAAAATAGTGACAGTAACACTAAATTAACTATTAACTATTCTTATTTTATTAAATTATAATACTCCGTATAATCTAGTCATCTAAAGAACTTTTTTAGGCTTTTGTCATGGCTTACATCACTGCACTAGGAGCCAACCCCGACAAAAGATGATAAAAATTCAATTATTTGGTATTTTTTAAACAAGAAGATTCGAAGCAACCATTCATGATTCCATCAGTCTAGTTTGGTCATCAGTAATCCTTAAACTTTGTAATACATTTGTGTACTTTACGTAATAAAGTATATATAAAATGTGAATCGTTGCGAAAGCAAAATTATACATGCTATGATTGTGGAATATGAATCTAATTCAACTTTTTATAGTGGTAAAGATAAAATATAATATTCTTGCATCCAATTTTCAATTCAGTAATAATATCACACCAAATGAGGAAATGTGTAAAATAAGTACAACCAATACTAAGTTTTTTTTTTTTTTTTTTTTTTTTTTTTTTTTTTTTTTGAAAGAACAAGTAATACTAAGTTAACTATTTTTTTTTCCTCTATACAAAGGAAGATAACAAATCAAATTATTGACATTTAGACTATTGAGACCCAACAAGCTTTGTAAAAACAAAATGAGTTAATTCCACAGGAGCTCCCTTGTCTTGAGTGACAATTTTAAATTTAGTCCCAACTATCGTTTTTGTCATTTAACATCCCAGACTATTATTTTTTAGACACTTTTAGTCACTCTTATGACTTTTCTTATTTTTAGTAAGGATATTTTTGTCTCTTCATATTTTTCTTTTGTTATTTTTTCCGGTTTCAACCGGTTTAATTGGTAAGGACTTTACTAAAAATCGGTTAAAAAATATGATTACTAAAAATCAAAGGTTACCTAAATTTCTATACCAATTAAACTTATTGAAACTAGAAAAATAACAATTGAAAAATATGAAAAGACAAAAATGCATTTACTAAAAATAGAAAAAGTCATTAGAAGGACTAAAAGTATCCAAAAAATAATAATAATGGATGTTAAATGACAAAAACGATAGTCTGAGACTAAATTTGAAATTGTCACCAAAGACAATGAACATGTGGAATTAACTAAAAGAAAAAAAGAAGTTGTTAATTGGAGGGACGTCAAACATGTGAAGCCCAAAATGGAGAAATGAAGAAGCAAGGCTTACTCCTCTAATAAAGAAGCAAGGCTAGGGCTTCATTACTATTAGTGAAGCCATTTTTAAGTTATCGCTAAAAATTATGATTACATTGTAACAAAGTACGTGGTTGAATGCGTACAATAATATCTGCAAAACAAAAGCATTTCCTATAAAATATTTTGTACAATATCTACATAATCAAGTCCTTTTTAGACCTTTTCGTATATTGATTTGTTAGTTAAGCAATGTCGTATTATTGCGGCTGACATTGGAAACGTGTATGTTCACCATGTCAAGAAGTCAGTAAATCATGTAGTTCATGTGTTAGTCAATAGTTATGTTGTGCATTCGTATGCACCATGCATGGTGCATACGGATGCCAAAACGACGTCGTTTTATTAAAAAACGCGCGTCTCCCATTTAAAAAAAAATCAGGTTCGATTCCCAGCAATAACATTATATTGTTCATTCATTCTGGAATTTTAGTTCATAGATTATGGAATTATAGTTCATCGATTATGGAATTATAGTTCATCGATTATGAAATTGTAGTTCATCGATTCTGAAATTTTAGTTTATAGATTATGGAATTTTAGTTCATTCATTCTGGAATTTTTAGTTCATAGATTAGATTATGGAATTATAGTTCATCGATTATGGAATTTTAGTTCATATGTTGTTGCTGGGAATCGAACCTGATTTTTTTTTAAAGGGGAGACGCGCGTTTTATTAAAACGACGTCGTTTTTGCATCCGTATGCACCATGCATGGTGCATACGGATGCACAGCATAATTTGCCTATGTTAGTACAGACAACTGATTCTCCGTCTGTCCAAGAGTCGTGATTATCTATTCCACCGGCCCAAATCTTCCACTTGGTTGATTATTAATGCAATTATGTCTTTCCTTCAAAAGTCCTCTACAAGACAAAATATGTATGTTTCTTCAACATTTAGGTCCACTCAATTTATTATAATATATATCTATATATATCTTGTTGCCGGCACTCCAGTCTCTATCTGATCTGACATTGGTGACATATTACCAACCTTTAGCAATAATTTTAGTTATGTTCCACATAGACGACTGAGGATGCATGTCCCACAAATTCAACCAAACTCAAATTCTTAATAATTCTAAACTTAATTAATGTATGTATACACTAGTCATGGATATTATATTGCAAAATTAAAACAACATTAATTATATTATATTGCAGCTATCTATGATTTCCATTCCTAATTAATATAATCAACGTACGCCAGCGATTTTCCTCTTATGCAGAACAAAGTCATAGAGCTTCAAAGGGTCTACAAGGGAGCTGGAGATACTCTCATTTTGCAGGCACCTTTTAACCCATTCAATCAACTTTGGGCATTCTGCTTCAATGCTCAAATTCACTTCTTTCTCAAAAGCAAGAAACCATGTATAGTATGTAACCAAAACCAAATCCAAGAACCCAATGCTTTCCCCTCCAAAATACAGCTTTTCCCCTAGCTCCCTCTCCAACACCTTTAGGTTATCTACCTGCTCTTCTTTAATGGCCTTTTCATCTCTTGTTTTAAACACCCATGCTTTCAAACACTCATAGATCTACATACATATATATATAAGAGATCAAGAAAAAAAAAACAGTGATTAGAGAGTTTGAAGGATAATATATATGTACCTTTTTGTCAATGAAATCAGCCCAGAACCTAGCTTGAGCTCTCTTGTAAGGATCTGAAGGCAACAATAATGGAGACTTGTGGTTCCAGACCTCATCAATGTACTCAAGAATAATGAGGGATTCGCAGATGGGTTTTCCATTGTGGATGAGAACAGGGATCTTCTTGTGAACCGGGTTCATTTCCTGCAGGAGTAGTGAGCTTTGGTTCTCCATGTCTTCCTCTTTGAATTCATAGTGAACCCCTTTGAGAGAAAGTGCCATTCTTGGCCTCATTGTAAACACATTCACGTAAGAACTCAATACAACAACCTCATCATCATCATCACTACCCATCTTTGTTTTGTACGTGTTTCAATTCAGTGATTTAGAGGAGATATCAGATCGAGTAATATATATAATTAAGCTAAGATAAGATCAGAAATATAGAGATCAGATGATGATGATGAGTAATGTTTCAATTATTGAGAAGTGCAGTAATCGGATTTGTAGGGATAATATATGCGGGCCCCCACTACACCACTTTAAGCCGGCCTTAGGATTAAAAGGAGGTAATGGAAACATCTGTGGGGACTGATTACTTTTTGGCAGAGCTTATTTAGAAGCTTATAGCTTATTTTAAGCTACTAATAAGCTATAAGCTCTGTTTGGTAATGTTCCCAAATAAGCTCCTAACTTAAAATAAGAGCTTATTTTGGAACGCGTTTCAAAATAAGTTCCTAGGTTCCTAACTTTTTTTCCATCTTTATCTTTATTATTTTAAAGAAATGACATAATTTACTCTTCTCAATTAAAACCCTTTTCTCTTCTCCTTTATCCGTAACTTTCACCGCAAATATTATTATTATTATTATTATTATTATTATTATTATTGTTATTATTATTATTATTATGAGATTTGCGACAATATTGCAACTTCATTATGAGATGCTAGATCATGATTATGCTAATACTTTTATTTCAAAATGTTAATTTTTTTAAAGACAAAATGTTAAATTTTAATATGTAAACAAACTAATTTAAATTTTATGAAGATGTCCTTTTTAGTTTTTTTACATTTATCAGCTTATCAAAAAGCTAATTTTACCAAACACTTTCAATCATAACAGCTAGCTTAACAACTCTTCAGTTTTCAGCTCTGAGCTTATAGCTTTTCAACTTTTAGCTCTTTTTCAGCTTTCAGCTCCTAGCTTATAGCTTTTCAGCTAAGTTTGCCAAACAGAGCCTAAAAGGAGGTAATGGAAACATCTGTGGGGACTGATTACTTTTTTTTTTGGCTTAATTAATAATAGAGTTTTATAATTCAATAATTAATTTTATCAAATATTTTAATTTCAATTAATTTAATTTATTAGCTACTAACTTATTAATTTTTAACTTTCAGTTAGACGTACCAAACCGAGCTTAGAAAAAGAGAGTGGATGCCAAAGAAAGATTCCAAAAATATGTTGTGAGTAAATATTTTTCATCTTTTTTTATCATACTAGATTTTCTTGTTAATTTCATTTTTCTTTAAATAGCTAACACTAAAAAAAATGACTTTTTTTTCCATGTTTTCAAATCATACTAACTTTTTTTTTTTAATTCTACTGACCCTGTTATGATGTAGTATCTGTTCATAGTTACTTTCTCAACCGAATACAAAGAATCAATATTGTTCAAACTCATGACCTCCCATTTGAGAGAATCACTCCATATCACTGGACCACAAGATCATTGGCAATCAAACTGATCTTAAATTCAAAGAAAACTGATAATATCAATTTAAAAATCCATGGCTATTGCAGAAGGATTCATATCCTGCTGGGAAACACGAAACAAGATACTACATCATAACAGGGTCAGTTAGACGTGCCAAACAGAGCTTAGAAAAAGAGAGTGAGTGGATGCAAAAGAAAGATTCCAAAAATATGTTGTGAGTAAATATTTTTCATCTTTTTTATCATAATAGATTTTCTTGTTAATTTCATTTTTCTTTAAATAGCTAAACACTATAAAAAAAAAAAAAATGACTTCGTTTTTTCCATGTTTTCAAATCATACTAACCTTTTTTTAGTATTACTGACCCTGTTAGGATGTAATATCTAATCATAACTACTTTCTCAACCTACTGAAGCACAAAGAATCAATATTGTTCAAACTTATGACCTCCCATTTGAAAGAGTCACTACATATATCACTTCACTAGACCACAAGATCATAGGCAATCAAACTGATCTTAAATTCAAAGAAAACTGATAATATGAATTTAAAAATCCATGGCTATATTGCAGAAGGATTCATATCCTGCTGGGAAACACGAAACAATATCACACGATTGTACATTATTGGACCAATGGATTTTGCATACAACATTAAATTTTCAATTATTGCCAACCCTTTCCCACAGCTGCAGAGTGAACTCATAGAGCTTCAAAGGGTCTGCAAGAGAGGTGGAAACACTCTCATTTTGCAGGCATCTTTTCCCCCATTCACTCAACTTTGGAATTTCTGCCTCCAACCTAAACTCTGCATCTTTCTCAAAAGCCAGCAGCCAGGTATAGTATGAAACCAGAGCCAAATCCAAGAACCCAATCCTCTCCCCTCCATAATATGCCTCTTCCCCTAACTCCCCTTCCAACACCTTCAGATTCTCCACCAGTTCTTCTTTAATGTCCTTTGCATCTTTCCTTTTAAACAGCCATGCTCCTAAACACTCATAGATCTGAATACATAAATACCCAAAACAATTTATTCATCAAAATGGTGAAGAAATGAAATGTTAGGATCAAACATGAAATTTGGAAGCTAAGCATGTTAATGTTAAATAGTTGGATTGCATATTAATGATTATATGATCAACACTAAAAGCCTAAGCTGATAGTTTGATTGCACATTACACCTGCAACACGTACGTGGGCGCGACAACCCATGACTTTTGGTCTGGCTCTATACCAAATTGAAGCATGTGTTCAAGCCTAAACTGATAGTTGGATTGCACATTAATGGTTATATGGTCAACAGCTAACAGTAATTACATATACATACCTTTTTGTCAATGAAATCGGCCCAGAACCTAGCTTGAGCTCTCTTGTAAGGATCGGAAGGCAACAATGGAAACTTGTCCTTCCAGACCTCATCGATGTACTCGAGAATTATGAGAGACTCGCAAATGGGTTTTCCGTTGTGAATGAGAACAGGGACCTTCTTGTGAACTGGGTTCATCTCCAGCAAGAGTGGGCTTTTGTTCCTCAAATCTTCCACTTTGGATTGGTAGTGAATCCCTTTGAGAGCGAGAGCCATTTTTGGCCTCATCGCGAACATACTCACGTATGTATTCAATAGAACAACCTCATCATCGCCATCACTAGCCATCTTTGTGTTTCAATTTAGAGATTGAGGAGAGAGTAAGATAAAAGGAGATTTGATAATATATAGATATAGATGATATTTCTTGGGTAAAGTCGACTGGTTGGCTGCTAGTGGGTAGTTGGTAGATAGGCACAAGGTCTACTTCGTCCTCCTCACCTTATTTCCAAATTCCAATAGATAAAACAGAAATACTCTGTTGGACAAATGTGCCCCCCTCTTGTTTTTAATTAATTTTATTATCTCTATTTATTTGTTGAGTTAATATCCAATTTAATCATTGATTATAATGATTTTTTTGATTTAGTTCTAAACGACTTGTTGTGCTTAATTAAATCATCAATTTCGATGATTTTACCCAATTGAGTTTTCGACTGTTAGAATCAATAACTAAATAAAAAAAAAATTATTATAGTCAATGACTAAATTAAGTAAAATTACTATAGTCGAATATTAATTTAGGTCAAACTAATATAGTTAAAGACTAAATTGAGTGTTAATAAATGTGAAATTACCAAACTATCTTATCCGTCTTATCTTTATCTCCTCCTAAGATGGATTCACCACCTAAGAATTGAAGAGTGATTCTAGGATACATATTTGCTCCAATTTCGGATTCCACCTCGACTTCAGCTCCGATGTCCTCTCCTCAACCCCTGTCACAAAACAACCAATAGTCACACTAATTACTCAACATCTAAAGCAAGAGAGCTTAATTATAACTTTCAATTAACCCATGGATGGTGAGGGAGGAGTTGAAGTCATGTTGGCATTGATTAGAATTGGAAGACTTCAAAAACATACCAATGGTGGGTGCGGTTAATTAGAACTTATAATTAAGTTGTTTTAGTTTAGATTTTGTATAATTAGTATAATTATTGGTTGTTTTGCAACATGGGTTGATGAGAGGACACTGAAGTCGAAGTCAAGAAGGAATTTGGAATCGGAATAGATACGTATTGTGGAATCTCTCTTCAATTCTGAGGTAGTGAATCCGTTCCAAAAGGCGATAAGGTGAATAATGATCAGGCTTGAATAGGACAGAGCAGTGGGTGACAAATTTTCTCTTATCATTTTAGCCATTAAAATTTTTTGGCTTCTTTCTCATCGATAATTTGACCTGAGAGCTTCTTCCCAAACGTGTCTCAATCATTCAATGCATGCGGTCTAGGGGAGGACTATAATTATATTACTACATTTCCCAATATTAAAATTGCACTTTACTTCTTTAATATAGAAAGATAGTTTGGGAACAATATTACTACCTTTGCCCCACACCCCCCCCCCCCCCCCCCCCCAAAAAAAAAAAAAAAAAAAAAAGTTGTCCTCTTTGACTGAAGAGCATTACTCCGCAATATAATGTATTGACTATTGGGAAGTTAAAATTGCACTTTACTTCTTTAATTATTGTGCATTTGATCTTTTATTTATAAAATCAACACATTTGTTTCATTAATTATCTCATCACTTAATTAGTTAATTATAAAGTTTGGTTACTTAATTATCTATTTGTAGATATAATCTTTCAACTTATAATGCAATTAAATTTCATTTTTAACCCAAGAACATGAAAAATTGCTGTTCTACTATTGGTTAAATGATAACAAAGGAAAACAGAAGAAAAAATATTATGCAAAATTACAAGAACATCTAGCATTAATGTTCGCTTAAACGAATAGTTATTTGCTCTACAAGTTTTTTTTTAAAAAAAAAGAATTCATATCAACAACTCATGAAATAATTAAGGACCACTTTTCAACACCCAAAGTAATTAAAGAACTAAAAGTGTGATTTTTTTTTCTAATGTGTTTAATTAGAAAAAAAAATTCACTTTTAGTCTCACGACTATTGTAACAATACTGCATTTAGTCACTTTTAGGGTGTGTTTGGTTGGTGGGTTTTGTCCATGAGAATGGATATGAAAGTGATTGTTGTTGTTTGGTTGATAAGTTTTTAGAACACTACTATGAGTCTCGAATACCGCATCAATTGAAAAACCCATATCCAAATACAATAAGGGTTTCATTTCATTATTCATTCTCAAGCACTACTACTATTAGTAACCATTTCCATTCCACTATACTACCAAACATGTTAAATACTTTCACCAAAACCCATTACTATTACCAAGTATTTGATACTCATTCTGATTCCGATTTCTATATACGAACCAAACACACCCTTAATTTGACCATATTTTGTCCTATTACTTTGTTGGCATTACACATTTGGTTCTCCTCCTCAAGAATAATTGGACAGTTTTAATCTTTTATTCCTACACACAAAAAAAAAAATCTCATAAATGACATAATAGAGGATACAATATAGAAAAAAATAAATTTTTAAAAAAGCCTATCATATTATTGTTTATTGTATCATTTATGAGCATTTTTTCAACAAGAAAAGAAAATTAAGATGGTAAAAGATCAAATTACCACAGAAATTAACGTTAACTTAATAAAAATTATAATAGGGGACCAAAAAAAAAAAAAAAAAAAATGAGGGTGTTTGGTAATTAGCCTTTTCTCATAACTAAATGGTCCTAATTAGGTGAAATGTAAAACATGTTTCCCTACTAGCTTATTGAATTGATAAATTTGTCACTGAAAAGCCTTAACATCTCTACACTCTCACATATGCTTCTCTCATTGTCGTTGTGATAGAAGCCATCTAGGACAAAATCCATTTTTGTAATGAGATCTTTTGCAACAAACCAAAAATCATTTTCTTCTTTTCTCAAATTTATTGTTCTTTATGCTACATCTCTTTCTTTGGATTTCTTCTTCTTTCCATTCCCCTAAGTATATAAATTCGTGCACAAATAGCATATTTTCACTCAAATAATTTATTTTTTTCATAAATTATGACGATGTATTATAACTTTAAATATTTTAATATAAAATATAATTATAAATATTATTTTATTACACAATAATATCCATTATATTTAATTTTGAGAATTATCATATTCTTCTTACATATGCTTAATTAATGCATCACAAAGTACATAATATGCTTATTTATGTATCTTTATCTTTGATTTGCCTTGTTCCTTGGAGATGCTCTAAGCAACGCCAATCCTTTCCCACATCTGCAGAGTAAAGTCATAGACCTTCAAAGGGTCTGCAAGAGAGGTGGACACACTCTCATTTTGCATGCATCTTTTGCCCCATTCACTCAACTTTGGAATTTCTGCATCCATGATCAACTCTACATCTTTCTCAAAAGTCAGCAGCCAAGTGTAGTATGAAACCAGAACCAAATCCAAGAACCCAATCCTCTCCCCTCCATAATATGCCTCTTCCCCTAACTCCCTTTCCAACACCTTCAGGTTCTCCACCAGTTCTTCTTTAATGTCCTTTGTATCTTTGGTTTTAAACAGCCATGCCCTTATACAGTCATAGATCTGAATACATAAATACCCAAAACAATTTATTGATCAAAATGGGAAAGAAATGAAATGTTAGGATCAAACGCTTACAGCTACGCTAGCTAGTAGTGAAAATGTAACTTTATTTCCCTGTCATCGTATTTTCTATAGGCAGGATGCTAGACTTGGTCCTTTTACCGGTCTCTACCCAACAATTCCCTTATACTTATCCGATATCACTTTTCTTTTTAGGTTCAAGCGCGTACCATTATGCCAATATTTAGCTATAGTTAATAGTGAAAGCGCAACTTTATAAACTGCCATCATATTTTCAAGAGGCAGGTGCTGGACTTATTTCTTTATAAACTGCCATCATATTTTCAAGAGGCTCAAGAGGCAGGGTGCTGGACTTATTTCTTTATAAACTGTCATCATATTTTCAAGAGGCTAGGTGTTGGACTTACCCTTATCCGGCCGGTTCTACTACATGTACTTCCAAATTAAATTCCCTCACTTTTACTCTATGACATGGATCCTAGAAACTAACCTCCAGCGATCCGGGCTGCTGCAGAGATTACACCAGTATTTTGCCTCTCACTTTGCTCAGCTCGATCTCTCTAGATGGTGTATGAGGTATAGTGTGAGCAGGACTAGTGACCTTATATAACAATTGGCCATCATTATGGTTGTATGTCTTTAGATCTCCTAAACCCTAACTAGACTCCTAATTATAATGGTAGTTTAGCTATTAGGTTATTAGTGTTGCACCACATATCAAATACTTAATATTATCTAACTTATCCTAATGTTATAATAATGATATAACAGGAAAACGTTACAGTAATTACATATACCTTTTTGTCAATGAAATCAGCCCAGAACCTAGCTTGAGCTCTCTTGTAAGGATCCGAAGGCAACAATGGAAACTTGTCCTTCCAGACCTCATCGATGTACTCCAGAATGATGAGAGACTCGCAGACGGGTTTTCCGTTGTGAATGAGAACAGGGACCTTCTTGTGAACCGGGTTCATCTCCAGCAAGAGTGAGCTTTTGTTCCTCAAGTCTTCCTCTTTGGATTCGTAGTGAACCCCTTTGAGAGCGAGCGCCATTTTTGGCCTCATCGCGAACATGCTCACGTGTAAATCCAATATAACAACCTTATCATCACCATCACTAGCCATCTTTGTGTTTCAATTTAGAGATTGAGGAGAGACTAAGATAACATATATAGATGATATTTCTTGGGTTATGTCGACTGGATGGCTGCTAGTAGGTACTGGTGGATACTCGATAGCCACAAGTTGCAAACATTATTGTTTAGACCATGGTCCACGCAAGCCCTGTGGATCATGGTTCACATAAGTTGTGTGAATCATATTTTGTATAGTATAAAATAATAATATACATTCAATACAAAATAATGTACTTTTAGTATATTAAAAATGTATATATTGTATTCAGGGGATGTATATTATTTGTGTACTGAGTGTACATTATATTGTATAATGTATATTCAATACACAGATAATTATATTTAGTACATTAAAAATAATTTTTTGTTATGATCCATAAAGCACTGTGTACACCATAGTCCACACAATAATTTGCACACAAGTTGTGCTCTGTCCTCACCCAATCATTATTGCATGGACCATGGTCCACACAATTGTGTGGACCATAAATAAAAAATACATTTTTAATATACTAAGGATACATTATATATGTACATAAGGTACATCTTTTGAAAGTA